CTGTAACCACTGCACCCCAAGCACAATTTCGGGTCCTTTAATCTCAAGCACAAACAAATCTACCACCAAAGTATGCCCTTGAACCCCCAATGCAACTCCCACACATTGTTGATGGCACGCTAATGATGCACCGTTACCCACGTACACACGAAATGGTGTGATAGGAGTTACTGGTAAACGAAGGTGTTCCACTAAACAAGGTTGGATGAAGTTGTGAGTGCTACCCCCGTCAACCAAAATCCGAACTTTACGACCCGCGAGTACGCCCTGGAGATGCAATGTTCGTGGGTGCGATGCACCGGCCAATGCATGTAGACTTGAAACATCAGCAGTGACGAGCAAATTATCCTCCTCGGACGCCTCCGGAGAAGGCTCGAATTGTGGCTCCTCGGTGTCCAACAGTGCTAAAAAACGATGCTTACAGTGATGACCCGGGGTGTACTTTTCATCACAATTCCAACACAAACCCTTTGCCGATCTGTCCGCCCGCTCGCTAGGAGTGAAACGCCGAATTGGTAATGCCGTAGATGGGTTTTTTAATGCCGCCGAAACCCCTGTACCCGAAGCTTGTTCACCCAAGGGTTTTGCAGGCTCAGGTGAAGGACTGGTCGAGGGCATGTATGAACCAAATTTCTTCATGCTTGTGGCCAGAGAAGAGACTGTATCCGTGTGATTGGCCGCTAACTCCCGTGCAAGAGCAAAAGCCTGGCCCAATGAAGTGGGGCAACGAAGATTAACCTCACGTCGTAAATATGGCTTCAATCCCGAGACAAAAATAGAGATTAACGTACTTTCCGGCACCCCTGTAATCTTGTTCAAGAGACGTTCGAAGTCGGCCTGATAGTCCATAACCGTTGTCCGCTGCTGCAGTTTGGAGAGGAGACCCATATAATCCTCATAATGAGTGGGATCAAATCTTTGTTTTACCTCGGTCAGGAAAGTAGACCACGAACGCAAACATCCATTATTGTGTTGATATAAAAACCAATCGGAAGCCGGACTCTCGAAGAGCAATCCAACCAAGCGTAACCGTGTTTCCTCCGGCGTTTGAAAGTAATCAAAATAGGATTGTACCTTATAAATCCAANCCGCAGGATCCGTCCCGTTAAACTTAGGGGCATCAAGACGAACTTTGGGCGCATGGGTATCGTGACCCGAATTTCCGACGTTGAAACTGCCCAATGGGGGTGGTACGGGAGGCCGGCGTGCATGCTCCGGTGGCGACCCCAATATCCCTTTCGAGCGAGAATCCTCCCAGGGTTTAGACTCCAATAGAGAGTAGACTTGATCAAGCCGCTGCGCTAGGTCACGATACTCCTGACGCGTTGTGCGAACTTCAAGGGCCAAATGTTGGATTGCTGCCACGACGTCTTCTGTTCCAGAATTCGGAATAGGAGTGAGGTCAGCAGACGAGTCGGGTGACATAGTGACGAGTCCGAGAGAATGAAAGCACCAATTGTTAAGCACTTTGAAGAGTAATAGTAAGGAGGAGAAGGAGATAGGAGGGATACAAGGAAGAAAGCCTTGCGGCCGTAGGGGGGAAGAATGATATTTAGGGTTAAGTTCTTTCTTAATTATCCTTCTCAAAGAACTTACATCTCAATATATAAGGATACGAGATGAAACCCTAAAACTAAATTATCTAACCTGTCGGTTCAAGAAAAGCATCGAGGTAAAGAACCGAAAAGAAACCCTCGAAGGAGCTTATAATACGCTCACCTAATGAAAATCTAAAATACAATAAATATTAAAAAGAAATATTATTTAAACGTAATCCTTGTACCGGGCCGGTGGTTTGGACACCCGGCCCGACCTTCGCGGCATCTCCTCATGTTCCTCCGCATCTACATGCTCCGCCACTGCCGTATCCTCAATATCCTGACCCGTATCAGTTATGGAAACAACACTTATCCATGGGAATCTTCTAAAGCAAATTATTATATAGAGTATTTATTTAAAAGAAAAATCCATTATTATGTTTACTCTTGAATTTTTCAGATATTATATGATTTATTTTTTACATTAAAAAGTGTGTCAAATATTCCGAAATTTTTCAATTTTCAGAAAGTATACAATCTACCTCTGAACAATAAAAATTACACCGGATATCCCTGAATTTTTCGGGAATTGCACGGTTTAATTTACCCCTGAACATTTAAACAAAGACGACAATTTTGGTCTCAAACTAATTTTCGTCTCCAACCAATAGAACATTTAAAACCCCTATTGTGATATATTTTCAGTATTTTACTCTTATTTTAATCTCCAACCATAATTTACGCAACTCACTCTTATCTTAGAGTATTTGACTATACAAGTTCACATACAAACAAATTATATACTTCATATTTTGGACCGACAAAAAAAAGTAAAAAATCACCTTATTCCCTAAATAAGAGTAGAACATAACATTTATCTTCAAAATAAGATTTTTATTTTTTTCAAAAAATATAAATTTGTACTATCACTTTATGACATTGAATAATAGTATCCCACTGTATTTTTGGTACTATATATTGTCATTATTAGTATTGCAACTTCAATTCTATTTTGAAGATAAAAAAATGGAACTACTATTTTAATACTTTTTTCATGTTTTATTTCTAGTTTAGTTCTTTTTTCCAAAAAAAATCTTTCATCCTTTTGAATATTCTTATTTTGATCTTCAAGGTCATTTTTTAAACTTTGATTACAAATTACGGAATAAATATATTGAGTTGCGATACAAATTTTATATTAATAAACTCATTTTGAAACATATATAGTTTGACAAGATCTTTTGACCTTGGCCAAAAGTGACATTTAACAACCTAAGCATTTTAGGATACCTACGATACTCCTCCGTTAGTAAAAATTGATGTTCCCACCTCCCCTAACTCCCCTAACCCCCTGCAGCACCCACCCTAGCCCCCGCCTTGGTTGTTGATTTAATTTGTAGTGCATTATAAGTTAAAATTGTTATTTGAAGATGGTGAAAAATCAAATTTAGAAATTCAAAAGGGACAAAAGGAGTGAAATTTTTATTTATATATCTTGGAATTTTAATGCAACATATTATTTGTCAAATGCAGAAGTTAGTACATAATACCGGAGTTTTATTTAGATTCAATTCATAGGTCCAAAATTTCTTTTCATAAGCTTCTCCTTTATTAGTCAAAAATAAAAACACAATGTGTGAATGGACGATGATATGGGTATGCAAATTCAACAGTCACTAAACACTTTAATTGTTAACAACGAAACACTTTAATTGTTTTGATTTCTTATGGCTATACAAAGTAGGAATCTAATTTTCAGAATTAATGAGAATTATTTGGTGATATGCTTAGATTATTCTTGTTCTGCTCTATGAAATGTAGGGGTGTTCAAAAATATCCGATCCAAAATATCCGTCCATGATCCGGGTCGATCCGATCTGAAAAATGGATATCCGATCTGATATTTTAGCTTTCGGATATTTTGGATCGGGTACCCGAGAAAAATCGGATCGGATATGGATTCAATTTCTGGAATTTTTTGGATAATCGGATATTTGATTTTTTTTTTGCTATATTTTTTGGAATTTTATGGATATATATTATGACTATATGTTTAAATGTAATTTTATGTTGATTTTGGAACTCAACCATTTTGGACTTTTTGCATTAGCATTTTAGAATTTTTTGTTTTAATAGTGTTTTTTTGTTTGTTTAGGCAAAATTACCAAAGTTACTCTCAAATTAAATTTGGTGTCATTTTTTACTAGGCCATTACCAAGTGGTGAAATTTTTCTTTTAGTAAATCTATATTGAATTTGATATTTTGGGTTGATTTTGCTATTTTACCTTTTTTTTTGTAAATTTTGGTTAAAAACTCAACTTTTCGGATAATCCAGTGATCCGATCCGAAAAATCGAATATCCGAATTTCGGATATCCAATTATTTTCGGATCTGATATGGAATGAGTTTTACATGATCCGAAATTTTCGGATATCCAAATTCTATCCGATTGAACACCCCTATTGAAATGTGACTCTCAAAGTAATCAATTAGAATGTGTTGATATTGTACTCCTTTACTCCAATATTTTTTTCCATTTTGACTTTTCCTTATTGGCAATGAATCATTTTTGCCAATAATATATTCCCTTCGTCCCAAAATCTTTTTAATGTTCTAATTTTCATATAATTTAAGAGATAAATATTTTTGTATTGACTCTTCAAAAAATACTTTGATATAATGAGTAAAAATATGATATAGTGAGTAGATTACTAGATTATTAATAAATAGATATGATGTGATAAATATGATAGGAATTAATTATAGTTAAAACTAAAGTAGTTTTTTTAGGAACTTCTTTCCTGGCTTAAGTAGTAACAATTTCACTCCCCAAAATTCGTGAGGAAGTTCACACAAGTTCGAGCCCCAGTGGAGGCAGAAACATTGGCTTTTTGTGCGTTATTAGGTTGAAAACAACATGGGACCACTTGGTATTAGAGTTCCTAATATTGCCCTTGTGTGTAGCCTCCCTCCTTGTGTGTATAGGAGGTGGGTATATATACACGTGTTAACAATAATGAGTTAGTATATCTATCAATGTGTGTTACGATGTCACTATAAATTACAGAGTATATATATACTTTGTATAAAAATAAACAATCTCCTTAGCTTAAGTAATAAAATACGGAATAAAAGATTTGTTCATGAAATTAGTTGTAACTATAATTTAAATATGTTTTTCTGAAAAAAACATCAACCAATGATTTATTAGGTTTGACTAGATTTGAATTTAATTTGTTTTGAATTTACTCAATATTGAGTCTAATCAGTTTTGGATCTAATCAGTTCTGAGCTTAATTGGTTCGGGTGTAATCGAATCGAGCTCAATCAAATTTGAATCTGAAACAAGTTTGAATACATTATCTCTAGATCAGATCATTTCAAGTGTGTTCGAATTTTTAGTTTTTGGAGTATTTGGAATTTAGATCCGAGTTGGAGTTTGTTTTGCCGAGGTCGGAGGTCTATTAGTAATGATTATCATTACTCGTATTCCGTATTACTCCGTATTTTTTAATTCATTTACGCGTAAACATAAAAAGAGGAACGTAAAAAAGACTTGAAGGGCCGAAAGGTCATTTGACTGCTCATGCGCGTCTATATATGGAGAACTTGAATCTCACACTCCTCTTGGTAGTCTCGACGACTGAAGCTACGGTGCTCCTGCATCGCCGCCTCAATTCGTCTCTACCGACTTTTAAGTCTACGCCGGCGGCGTCCTAACCTATCTCTCCGGCGGAGAACCGGCCGACGACCTTACGACACACACGGAATCGTGAGTTTCTTAAAATTTCATATTTTCGTCCCTGCTGCTGATCCGATTTTGGTGTTAGAAAAGCAGAGGATGAGTGTCGCTCTTTTGATTCTTGTGGTTTTTCTAATTTTTTTCTAGAAATTTGATCGAAATCGGATGGTTTATTGTATGAATTTCTTTTTTTTCAGGTAGGGAATTTGAGCTTTCACGTAAAGGAGAAAGCGGAGAGGCTTTTTTGTGAATCGGAATCTGAGAATCAGAAAATGGGAGTAAAAGTTGCGGCGGCGTGTTTGCATTGGTCGCAATCTTCAGTTCCACACCCACCGCCGTCTCCTCCGCCTCAAGCACTCGCCTCCGCGATCTTCTCATCTTTTCCCAAACGACGCGGTGGTTTTGCTGGGAGTGAGAGATCTGTGGTTTGCCGGTTCGTCCACTGGCTGGACCCGCCGGCTCTGGTCGGAACCCAGCCGACGAAGATCCCCAGGTCCCGATCCTGCGAGTTCCTGAAACCCCCTGTGCGACAGACGATGCGACGCTCCTGCAGTGCCAATCTCGATTCCTTCTTCTCCGACGAGGAATTTTCCAAGGGAATTGAAGGGTTGGCTTTGGGTTTCCACATATCGGACGACGAAGAAGAAGAAGAAGATGAAAGCCAGATCTCAAGCTTTGATGATCAAGCTGAGGAGGAAACCTCCCATGGCACTGCGGCGAGCCACAAGCGGAGAGTTTTTGAACCGGTAGTGCCTCCGGATTGGACGAAAAGAGAAGGGATTCTTCTGTCTGGCATGGATCGGAAGGGGAATGGTTTTGATTTCCCTCTCTCTTTGAGGGTTATAGGGAGCAAAATCCAGTGGCAAGAGGGGTTCAGAGATGCAGGAGAGTTGACGTATTGCTCGGTGAAAAAAGCTTTTTCCAGTATGGTGTTCATAATCCAGGAACTCCATAGCTACACCTTAATGATGAGAGAAATGCTGTTCTATGAAGATTTACAGGGCATAATAGGGAGAGTTCAGAAAGAGATGCAAGCTTCTTTTGTGTGGCTGTTCCAGCGAGTCTTCTCCCACACACCAACTCTAATGGTCTATGTGATGATGCTCCTCGCGAATTTCAGTGTCCATTCTCTAGCTGCAAGTTCTGGTTTCGCTGCTGCCCCTCCGCCATTGCAGGCACAAGCAGTTTCCTCCAAAGAGGTTTCTATGGCAGAAGAACAACACAGCCCTATAAAGCAAAAATTCGACTTCACATCCTTTTCGGCTTCTTCTTCTTCTTCCTCTTCAAATGGGAAGAGTTTGTTCGTTGGTGGAAACAGTGGCGGGGGTGGCAAGTACATTCCAGTTTCCGGCGGTACGGATGGTGATGGGAGGAGGTTTGATGGTGCAATTGTGACTGCTGGGGCATCCTCAGTTGGCAAATCATCAGCTGCTGGTGAAGAAGAAACAGTTTCTTCTCATAAGCTTTCCAGTGAAGAGGAGTTGATGCTGTGGAAGTCTATTTGTGAAGAGGCTTCAAGAATGCAGTCCGAGACACGAGGTGTGGCTTTGGATCGCGACACAGTAATGAGGTTTGTTTCACCTGTGACAGGGAAGATCGAATCCGATGATTACGCATATTATTTTAGAACAGAGCTGCTTTACCAGACAGGACTCGCCCAAGAGCCCAACAATACCCTCTTGCTCACCAATTATGCCCAGTTTCTTTACCTGGTTGTTCAAGATTATGACAGGTACATCCATCCATCCTCCATTTTATCTGGTTTTTTTTTGCTATGTAGAGAAGAGAATTATGATCTACTTAGCTGGTTAATCTTTATCAATTATGATCTAGTTGTGCTATTATGATCTTCAAGAATTGTTCCTTATATCTTCATTAATACATTAAGCTTTCTATAACATGTTGTTGAATTGATTGGTAACAGAGCGGAGGAGTACTTCAAGAAAGCTACTTTGGTGGAACCAAAGGACGGAGAGGCATTGAACAAATATGGGACTTTCCTTTGGCAAGTGAGGAATGAGCTCTGGGGTGCAGAGGAGGCATACCAAGCAGCCATTGATGCGGAGCCTGCGAATTCGTTCTATGCCGCTAGCTATGCCCATTTCCTGTGGAACACCGGAGGCGAAGACACGTGCTATCCCCTCGATGATTCCACGGAATACGAGGACGCGTGAAATTACCACACACAAAAAAAAAAGAAAGAAAAAAGGGAACGATGCTGGGAAAGAAGCAGAAAGGCATGGTATGTTTTTTGGAACTGGACAAAAACTTGGTGAAAGATGAGAAATGGTGGAATTCAAGGTTGTTCTCAGATGAAGCTCAAGAAACACAGAGGGAGGGGTGACTGGAGTTTGTTGGCCTGTCACAGACAACAACATCAACAGCCCATATTGCTCCAGGAACAAGATGAAGTTGGTGATAAGGAAAGGGATGGCCCTGCTCAGTTCTTTCTCTCTTTCTTTCTTTCTTTCTTTTTTCAGCTTTATTACCAAAATTTTCTACCCCTTTCTCTCTCTGCACAGTTGATTTGAGGAGCTTAGATAAGTTCTTGTGCTATAGAAAATGGCATTTGCAGATTGTAATTAAAACCCTATTGTTAATAGCATAAATGCCAAAGCTTAAGCTATTTTTGGTTTGGAGTGATTTAATGACTTAATGACTAACTAAACCCCTCCTCCACCCAAGAAAAAAAACATGTGAAAAGGATTGTTGACACTGTTTGTCCCACTGAGGTGTCATTAGATGACAAATACGTTTTAATTAGCTTATACTGGCATTGTCATCATCACCATGCCAAATCTGCAGTTTTCGCGGGGTGGGCTTCATGGTTATCTCTTTGTCTTCTCTCTCTCTCTCTCTCTCTCTCAAACAGAGTGTGAGGGGAGATGATGGATGGATGTCAACATGCATGCTTCTCTCGTGATTGTAAAATCAAAGTGTTCTACAGTTTGATTTTACAATTGTAATTTTTTTTAAATTTAAGGTACAAATTGCAAAAGTTACAAAGTACTGTATCATTTACTACAACTATGCTTGATTTTACAATTGTAATTTTTTTTAATTTAAGGTACAAATTGCAAAAGTTACAAAGTATCATTTACTACAACTATGCGTAATTATATTTAATTTTTTTGTTGGTTAAGCTAACTTTGATAAATTTTGGGCTTTTTTTAATTATAAAAATTTGAATGTATTGAAATTGTTTCCCTTTTCTTCAAATTGAAGTCATCTCTGAAATAGATTTTTTGAGAAGTATATTACGGAGTACTACGTAAGACATATTTAATGGCACGGAAAGAGTCACTAAAAATTTGCTCCTTTTATGTTTCAAAAAGAATGTGCCCCTGAGGGGCTCCCAGGCCACTCAGACCTGGTGGAACGATTACTGAGAAGATGTAAACTAGATTTTTTATTGCAGATTGATGGCAGTAACTAAAACTTGTACCTGGTACTTGCACCGACTCTTTTTATGTTTCAATTTATAGAAAGTGATAGATATATCGGTTCCTAGTTTCCCACATATTCGGTATATAAATCATAACTTTAATACTTATTAATGATATTTTTATTGAATTCAGATCATATTGAATAAAAAAGATGAAAATAAACCTAATTAAATCTGACTATAAACATATACAGCCTTAGTTTTAACTAGAACAAATCAATTCCAATCATATTAAAAAAATTCATATTTAATTAGACTTTCATTTAATAAAACTGAATCAGAATCAATCAAATCAAACAAATAGAAGACGCTCAAGGTCCATTGGACAAGCAATAATCATCAAGGACAATGACTCATACTTTTTAGGCCTCGGCTCGGGCTCGCCAACAAGATTTAGACAGTGTTCCGTTCAATTTATTTTTTCTATTTATTACTTATTTTTATTCTAATCAGATTAGATCTGATTAGACCAGACCAGATCAGATGATAAACAGTTCTGATTATAACTATAATCATTTTAGATCAGGCGAACGGAACGCAACCTTAGCGTCGACCACACTAAATTTGGACATTTCACACTTGGTCTAGTCAAATCTTAGACTAATCTTGATTATTCGTTTGGTAGTACATATTGGACCCTCTTATATCATAACTCTTATTAAGCTAAGTCTATTTAACTTACATTTATGTATGGAGTATATCTTTCTCATGTCTTAGGAAAGAAATACTCCATATGAACTATTTAATCTCAAATGCAGTACACTGTTGAGATTAATTTTTTAGTCACACTATATTTCTAATTTCTAATAAAAGGAAGGGTAGTTTAGTGACACGCGAAAAACAGTACTCTACCATAATAATAATAATAAGTGCCCGTCTCTTTCATACTTTTCCTATTTAAGCACAAACCGTAGGCATAACAAAATCAATCGTTAAATGTTTGGGAAAATAAACTTAAGCCAAAATATGCATCGAATGGGGACGAGATATTTAGAGGCCTATGCATGGGTTCAGGTTAAAGTCCATGTCAAGGTCCAAATTAAACATCATGCCAATTCATTCTAACACGTGTACACCACCTCATTACTAGTAATCACATTTTAACCACTCCCAGCCCCCACCACCCTAAAGGATTGATTCCAGTAATCCAGTCACATGACATTTTTGGTCAGATGACATTTTCGGTTAAATAACATGCTTTAGAATGAGCACTACCTTGTTTGAGACTGAATATTACGTTGTTTCAGAATGAATACTATGCTGAGCAGACTGGAAATGAGTACTTTGTTGTTTCTGAATGAATACTATGTTTATAATGAACAGATGGGTGAGAATGAACCGTACGTTGTTAGAGAATGAACATTTCATTGATTCAAAACGAACCCTACACTCTCATTTGACTGACTTGGAATGAACAATATGGTGTTTTGAAATGAACAGTACGTTGTGATAAACACTTGCGTGAGAATGAACCCTACGTTGTGTCAGAATGAGCATCACGTTGATTCAGAAATCAGAATGAATCATACGTTATCATCTGACCGAAAAATGTCATCTGACTAGAGTAAATACGATATATATATACATATATATATATATATATATATATATATATATATATATATATTGGTTCTGGTGAGAATGCAATCTTAGGAGAAAAATGAGAAATAAGAATAAAATCTAGCCGTCGGATCTGATGCATCGTGTGGCTCAGATTGCATCCTGCGCTCAGATTTTGAGATAGTGCATTTTCGAAGGTTTATGGTGCATTTCGACGTGATGCATTTTTGAACCATTTTGGTGCATCTAATTTTGATGAAATCTTGACCCTTAGATCTCACAATCTAAAGCACCAGATTTATTCTCATTTCTCTCCTAAGATTGCATTCTCACCAGAACCAAAATCTATATATATATATATATATATATATATATATATATATATATATATATATATATATATATATATATATATATAGGGATATATATATATAGGGAATCAATCAATTAATTAATTAAAAGCGTTTAATCTTTTTAGGACTCATTGATAACAAGTTTGATTATTTAATCTCTTAATTAATAACATGGTGGTTGGAAAACATGTTACAAACATAAGTGCGTGATAGTTACCCTGCTTTAGATTTGATAGGACTTCCTTCATACGTACGTACATAAGCCCTATTAGCTCTGTAGATTACATGTACGAGTTATGAATTAATGTAATCCGTATAAGTAATAATGTAGGCCATATTGTTTTCCACCGTAGTCTAGCTAGGGATGACAATGGAGTAGAGGATGAGAATATGATCATCCTATACACAATGTTATTCCATGTATTATAAATCGGGAAGGTTCTCTTGTCATATTGAGTGTCAATGTCATGGAATGACCTGAGCTTCAATTGAGACCCTGACAAACATTTGTTCAAAAAGTTGACGGTTTCTACCCTGCCTAATGCTCTCGGTAAGCCCCCAGGCCACTCCAGCCCGACCCAAACGGATCCATCCACCCCTTCAATTGCACTCTCCAATTTTAGTCCAATCTAGTAGTGGACAATGTTCTGATTCGTAAAAAGAACCAGACTGTTGGGGTACTTGAATTGAGAACTAGCCACCGCGAAAGGAAGTGTTCTAGTTCCAGTCCTCCCATTTGAGAATCAAAATTGACAGTTCTACTTCTGGATCCATTTCAATTCTTTTTATTAAGACTTATTCTCAAATTGTTATGGTTGAAATACAATATCTACAAAAAATACTCCTTGAAAAGAAATAAAATGTACACTTTCTCCATTCTATTTTAACTATCCGTTTTGCTTTGTCTGCGAAACGCTATAGAAAACATGTGGATATATGGCTCCACGCATCGCGTGGCAGATCTGAAAACATGATTTGTTCACGTTATTTTTTTATCCTTTACATAGAAAAAAGATGAGCATCATTCCCAAAGACCCCTTCAGAATTGGTCAGTTATGTAGGGACTGTTGTATAATACCTTCATCCTATCCCCGTATTAGTATGATATTATATATCCGTTCTGGGCTAGGGTGTCATTGAATTATTTTTGGACACCTTCCAAAAGCCCTCATACTAATGGAGTTGGGTGAACCACTAAATATTAGATCTTCTCCCTATCTCTTCGGTGTGGAACCTGGTTTCTCCTAAGAAACCTCCCCTCAAACTAGGGCTGCACAACTTCTGACTTTCCCTCCAGCGGTAATATATTTTTATGTGCTAACCATCTTGTGCCGCTGCTACACTATTCACAGGATACGCTGCCCAAGATCCTATCGGGAAGACTTTTGTTTCGATGCAAGGCTCGAACCGGAGATCTCCTCTTCTCTGGGCTACACCATTTGATCCGCCAATTTATCTTATACCATTGCTACAATACCGCGGGACATGCCGTCCGAATTCCTCTGGTCGGGAAGACTTTTGACATAAGGTACCACGTGCATGTAGATATCCTTTTGGTCTTGGTCTTATTGTTACACCGTCTCACCGAGATTTTCTCACACTGCGTAGTCTACCACTCCTACCCGCATGAACCTGGACCCGATACGACATTTTGAGACCGTGCGTATCTTCACCCCAACTCCGTATTAGTATGATATTGTCCTCTCTAGGCAAGCCCCCATGAATTTGTTTTAAACACCTCTAAAAGACTTCATACTAATGTAGTTGGGCGAACCATTAAAAATATTGATTCTTCTTCTCTCCATCTCTTCGGTGTGGGACTAGATTGCTCCCAACAATTCAAGTTATCAAGAGAGGACAAATTAAACTTTTAATTAGAGACTAATTGTCAAATAGCGAAACTTGCATCTAACACTTGTAGAACGAGAAATGCAACTCGAATTTATCCCTGGCATTTTAGAAATTCTATTTTGAGAATATATAGATCGAAGTGCAGGTTGTATTATTGGAATGTTAGAATATTCATTGCTTGGTGCCACCACCAGTACCACCATCAATCTCGCACGGATCACATCACATGCAGTTGTCTGAGGAGGAGTCAAAGTAAACTCAACTTTATTATATATTTTTATCCCAAACTTTTAATCAAGCCAGAATAAAATCGTGTGAGAAAAAAAAGTTGGGATAAAATTAATTACTTTAGTGTGGCGTAAAATGATTGGAAAAGAGAAAGGGGCAGTAGTGGGAATTTGGCGCACCAAATGAAGGGCGGGCAATAATAGAGAGAAGAGAAAGGACAACATATCACCGTACCCCGCCTAATAAGTAGGATGTGCAACGTGGGGGCATTATAGTCACTCTAGGTTATTATATATGTATAAATCTGATTGAGACTTGAGAGGGCACCCTCCTTTGTCTCCTCTACCTTTTCTAAAGGCTAAGAATCATATGGGTTTATGTCTTTCCCTACTTTGTCCTCCTTCTTAAACCCATTTTCCAACGTCCAAGGATCCATCAATATACATATATATATGATTGAATGGAAGGTATGGTATAGTACGACTACAAGGCCACATACTATCTCCATATACTTAATTCCTCCGTCTACAAATAAACTTCCCGTTGCGTGTTACGATGTTTGACTGAAGTTATTTTCAAATCATTTGTGACGAAAAGTGGCTTGGAGCATAGGTACTCGAATAGAGCCGACATAAGCAATTTTGAGATGAATGTTAGAAGTAGAGAGATAGATTTTCATTGCATGTTGAACAAGCTTGAAAGTATATTTGATGAGTTTTTTTTCTTGGGGGAGTGTTGGCGTTTGGAGTTGAGCGACGACTCTCGAACTCTAGAAGAAACACAAACAAATGCAGCTTTCCAGTTCTTCGATCACGTACACAATTTTTTTTAGAGAGAGATAGAGATAAGGGACGGTGAGGCCATGATAAGGGCAGTCGATATCGATGAAGATTGACTGGCAGTGGTGCACAATTGTAAAAATAGGGGTGCTAGGTATTTGAGAAGAGAGGTCTTAGCTCTAATACCATGATACAATTTGATTTTAACTGGGCTTATTGAATAATGAAGGTTACATCCATATATATAGGAATTGCAAGAGAAAATCTCAATCATAGTAGAATAACAACTATTACAATAATACATTAGGAAAGTAAATAATAATAATTCTCTAGTTTCTATTAACCATATATATTATTCCTAATAGTTCTTTACATTATTAGAATGTAATATTTGTTTATATTTTCTCAACTTAATAATGCATAGTGAGTCAATTTTTCCACTTTCGTTGAGATTCAAACTTGAGTGACCATGGAGAGAGTACCCCCTAGTTTCTTATTAAAACAAGAGATTATATTATGATATATTGACAAATAAACTAAATGAATGTTGACCTGATGTATGTCTATTTACATTCAACTTTAATGTATCCGAAAAACTAATAAGGGCTTCCAAAAAAGAAGTAATGGTGAAAAGTTAAAATAGAGTGAAAAATATTTCCTCATTGTATTTGAACTATCAATTAGGGAGTATAACTCTTTTCAAATAAATTAAAAATTGAATGAATGTAGTTACAAATTAGTCCATATTCATTGTGTTTTGAATGTATCAAAAGAGTTAGGAGGAAGGATTTAAAAGAATAGAAGAATACCGGCCGTTCGTAGGACATGGGTATATGCAATAAAAATATGGTAGAGCCCCAACCAATTTTAGATTTGGGGAGCATGAATTAAATTACCATCCCCATTGGTACCCCAATAAATCCATCCAAATATTCACCCTCTTTATTCTCATTTTGCACGCAAAAATGCACTATCTATGTAAACTACATATTTTACAAAAAAGAAAAAAAATACTCTCACGAAGTTTTGAAAAATGATGAAAAATAAAGTGTATAATTATATTCTACTTTTTTCGGAAAAAGAGAAATTTTGTGAGTCAAATCTTTATAAAAATGAAACAGAAATTTTTCTCTTTTATGCTTCCATAATAAACATCACGCTCTTCTTATTTTCTTTTAAGAAACAAATGTTACTTCACAACATATCTCTCTTTTATTTAAAATTACTAAATTTTTTTCTTTTCAACTTTTTTTAAAATTTTGTAAAGTCAAGAATGAACTTAATGATATAACAGAGAGAATATGTAACTTTTTCACTCAGACAAATTATATTATACATCTGCATCTATGTACATTAATGTCATTGTTGTAATTTCTTGGACGAACATGTTCTTTTTATTAGTCTTATTGCATTTGTTTGTTAAAATTTACTCATTTTTCGTATAAAGAGATGCAATTGTGAACCCATGAAAAATATGTGAGTAGGTCCACATTTCACATGTCGACTTTAGGATCATAATAGCACAACTCTAGCCTTAGTCTGACCCAACAAAGATGTATTAATGCCAAAAAGTGAGTTTCTCCTCAAGTGGTTTTGCAATCACAATGCCATAAATTAATCTAACATTTCTGAGCATTAGTTGAAATATCCCATTCATGAAGAAAAAAAGTATGTTGTGAAAAAAGAAAGTGAGCAGTTATATGGTCAAGTTGTAAACAAAAGATAGATGAGGCCCTTAAGATACTCAACTATTTCTGATCCTCCCAGCTTCGAGCTCCCAAACACTCTATCAACAAAAGTAATTGGAACCTGCAGACGCCGGAAAGAATAGTTTGGTTTCATCACGTAAAAGAAACGATCAAAATCGGCAGAGCAACAAGAACCAAATTGAGCAAGAAATTAGGAGTCGGCGAGCTAAAAAGGAAAGAGGATTTTACCTCTTCAATGCGATAATGTTTTCTTGAGGCGCGGACGATCATCTCCATTTGAAAAACATAGCCTTTGCTGACACATGAACTTATGATGTCTACAAGCACTGATTTTCGGTAGAGCCTTCAAAAATTGTAGCACAGCTATTATTCAGTCTCAGAAAATAAATGATGATTTTCGTATATGTGTAGGCCAAAAAACACAAACATGAAGCGATGATAAGATCAATTGCGACGACAAAAAAAACATTGTAAATTCAAAAGAAGATGTTGGCCCAAACCTTACCAACTTTGAAATCACGTGTTTTCTTTTTGTTGCAATTGGTTTATCATTGTCTTAAGCTATCATCTAATGTATTCATGTTTGTGTTTGAGACTTTAAGGCATTTAAATATACGATATTCTGAAAGTTCATCGAGACGTTTTTGAAAGCTGGAGTCATTAATGAGTTACTTAAGTTAATTCAAGGGCTATATGGGATGTTTGTGTACTTCACTACTTCCTAGTTTTGTTGCACATAGCTATGTTATAAAACAGAGCATATTTTTACTTCATTTAAAACCTATACCGATATGATCCCGTTAAGTCAGATACTCCTGGCCAAAGAAATGTCTGTGCAAGGACATTTGCTCCTCTACTTGTCAGTTTGCGCATTAGATTCCACCCATGAACACCGCCTCCCTTAACATAGCGGGTCCCGGTGACAATATCAGAACCGGTCTCCATTTGTTTCCTGAATTCAATGAAATATCGTAACTGTACACAATACAAAGAACCCATAAACAAAAACGCTTAAAAAGCTGATCAATAATCACGCACTCACTTTATAAATCTTGGCAGGTACTTTGGCTGCCAAGTAAGCGAAAATATTGTCAAGTACGGAACACAAAAGTGAGCAAAAACAAACAATATGAATTGACATAAATAGGACATTACATTTGAAGAAGACTTTGTCAACGCATTTAATCTTTCAAAGAATTCTTACATGGTGGGATAGATCGGCATCCATAATGACAACAAATTCTCCAGAGGCATATTTCAACCCATGAATATATGCAGTTCCTGAATGTAGGCACAGTAAGTGAATGCTTAATGAAATTAGGACAATTAGGAAAATTATAAAAATAAGTACCTAAACCAAGCTTAGCAGATCGAGGTCTCAAAAGCTGCATGACCAATGGAGAAAGTAGGTAAAAATGTCTTAACTCTTGACAATTTCTATTTACAGGTAAGAAATACTCCTCCGACCCAAAATCATCTTCCACTTTCCGTTTTTTAATATCCGAAAATAATATTCCATATCCATTTAAGGATAAAAACATGAGGTTCATATTCTTTCTCTCTCCTCTGCACAAACTCCATGCCATTTTCACATGGGAGGTTATTTTGGGACGAAGAGAGTAAATTGCAAAATATTAAGCCATAAAAATTACTGACAATTCGATCTTCCCCATACACCTGCTGCAATTGTTGAACAATATCTTGAGTTCCATCAGGGCTTCCATCATCCACGACGATAATTTCAAAATCAACATCCCTACCCAGGATATAAAAAAACTCTTTTAATACTCTTTTGGATCTTACAAATAGAAAAAAAAACTAATGACATTGATAGTTGTGCATTTCCAAAATTAAAAGGTTGCACTTTTGTTAAGCATGGCTCTGGCTCTTTATTTGAGAGAGATGGACTACAACAACAACCAAGCCTTATCCCACTAGGTGGGGGTCATGTACATGGATCAAACGATGCTATTGCGCCCTATCAAGTACCATATCTGCAACGAGATCATTCACGCGAAGGTCAACTTTGACCACTTCATGCCAATTCTTCTTAGGTCTACCTCTTCCTCTAGTCACATGTCTATTCATCATTTGATCAACCCTTCTCGGCGGATGCTCTATGGGTCTTCTCTTTACATGTCCATATCACCTTAGACGAGCTTCCACCATTTTCTCTATAATAGGTGTCACTCTAATTTTAGCTCTCATATCTTCATTCTTTCTATCCATACGCGTATGACCACTCACCCATCGAAGCATCTTCATTTCGGTCACATGTTCATGTGCACCCTTTGCAGCCCAACACTTTGTTCCATACAACATAGCTGGTCAAATCGCGGTACAGTAAAACATTCCCTTGAGTTTTAAAAGTACTTTTTTGTCACATATAATGCTCGAAGCATTCCGCCATTTTGACCGACCTGCTTGAATCTTGTGATTTACATCATCATCTATTTCTCCATTACCTTGAACGATACACCCATGATACTTAAATCTCTTCACTTATGGTATATTATTTTCTCCAACTTTCACCACAATGCTAGTACTTCTCCTTTTGTTGCACTCTATATATTCTGTAATACACAAGCCATGCAATGCCAAAGCCTGTCTCCACGAATCCAACTTCCTATTCAAATTCTCTCATTATTCGCTCAGAAAAATGATATCATCCGCTATGAGCATGCACCATTTTACGCAATGCCTTTTCCTTCTTAACTTTTCCAAACCTCAACCGGGATGTTGTTTTGGCCAACTCCTCTGATGTGCTTCATCCGTTTTAGGGCCTCCTTAACTTCAAATTCTAGAATTCCTTGGTAATAATTGATGTTTTGGTCCGCCCCCATCGTGTGTAGCCGGTCAAACATGTGAGATTCACATGCTCCTCATTAAATAATCCATTGAAGTAGCTCTTTCACTGCTTGTCTATACTGTCATCAGAGACCAATACTTCACCATTCTTATCCTAAATGCTCTTAACTTGATCCAATTTCTCGACCCTTTCCAATCTTGTAAATACATCTTTCCCCTTCTTTTGTACCCAAAGACGGGTAAAATACTTCATCTGTTCTCGTCCTTGCTTCACTTATAGCCAATTTTGTCTCCTTCTTAGCTATCATATACCTCTCCCAATTTTCAAAATCACAACATAAAGACCACTCCTTAAAATAGAAAATTACTCTGGCGTACTCTCAATTTTATGGTAATAATTCTCATGTTCCACATTATCTGAAATATACTCTGGGGTACCCTAGATGTACTGGTAAGAACTCTTAAGTCCCACATTATCCGAAATATACTTCGGAGTCCTTATAATTAGCGATAACGCACTCCTAGGATACATTCCGTCCATTTGGCCGTTAGGATTAAAAGTTTCAGTACTTTGACAAATACTAATTTTTACCTTGATAATCATTATTTTTATTAAATTTAAATAGCATTTTCAATTTGTCAAAGTAAAGGAACTATCAATCCTAACGCCTAAAAACACAGAATGTACTCTCAGTGTATAATATCACGAAGTTTCAAGAACCACAGAATATATTTCAGATAATGTGGGACCTGAGAGTTCTTAAAAGAAAATCGAGGGTATCCTAGAGTATATTTAAGATAATGTGGGACCTGGGAGTTATTACCAGAAAATCGAAGGTACCCTAGAGTAATTTTTGTCCTTAAAACGTTCTCGTTTTACCTTTACCTTCTCTTGCACACTAGTGCTCCACCACCATGATTCTGTCTCGTGCATTAGTGCCACTAGTTTCTGCAATGGTTTCTTTTGCCACCTTTTTAATAGCATCTACCATATCACACGATCTCTTCTGCACTTCCATGCCCATCCCAATTTGCTTCTTCTTTATGGAAAGAACTCTTAAGTCCCACATTATCCGAAATATACTTCGGGGGTCCTTAAAATTAGTGGTTATGTACTCCGAGGATACATTGTGTCTATTTAGTCATTAGGATTAAAAGTTCTGGCACTTTGACAAATACAAAATTTTACCTTGATAGTTATTATTTTATTAAATTTAAATAAAATCTTTTAATTTATCAAAGTAAAGAAACTTTTAATCCTAACGCCTAAACGAACGGAATGTACCATCGGAGTATAATATCACAAATTTTAAGGACCATAGAATATTTTTTAGATAATGTGAGACTTGAGAGTTCTTAAAAAAATCGAGAATATCCTGAAGTATATTTAAGATAATGTGGGACTTGGGAGTTATTACCAGAAAATTGAGGGTACCCCAGAGAAATTTTTTATCTTTAAAATGTTCTCGTTTTACCTCTATCTTCTCTTGCACACTAGTGTCCCACCACCATGATTCTTTATCTCGTGCATTAGTGCCACTAGTTTTTCCAATGGTTTCTTTTGCCACCTTTTTAATAGTATCCGCCATATCACACGATAACTCTTCTGCACTTCTATGCCCATCCCAATTTGCTTTTTCTTCTAAACGGCGTTGGAAATTCCTTCGCTTATCACCTTTTAACTGCCACCATATAGTCCTTGGGTTCCTCTCATGGCGAGTTCTTCTTACCTTTCATTGGATACGAAAGTCCATCAAGCTCTCTCCGGGATTAATTTTGTAATTAGTAATAAGTTTTTGAACTGACTTCCTTAGCAGAAAGAAATCAATTTGAGAGCATATCCTCCCACTCTAATAAGATATAAGATGCTCATCTGGCTTCTGAAAACAAGTGTTTGCAATAAGAAGCTAGAAGGTTAAATAGAAGTCTAAGATGCTTTTACCTTTTGCATTCGCTACTCCAAAGTCATGCCCTCCATGAATTTGTTCATACCCACTTCCATCTTTTCCCACGTGTCCGTTTAAGTCTCCTACCAAGAACACCTTATCTCCCATTGGTATGCCTTGCAATACACCTTCCAGGTCTTCCCAAAACTTTATCTTGTGGTGTACTCGTGTTCCTCTAAACCGACTTGTGGTGCATAGGCACTAACCACATGAATAGCCTTCCCTTCTATCACCAACTTTAACGTAATGATCCGATCTCCCACCCTGTTAACATCGACCACATCGTTCTTCAATTGTTTATCCACAATAACACTAAATCCATTTCTATTCTTTATTTTTCCTGTATACCATAGTTTGAAGCTTGAGGTGTCCATCTCATTAGCCTTCACTTTCACCCACTTTGTTTCATACAAGCACAAAATATTAATCCTTCTCAGTATCATAGTATCCACCAACTCCATAGACTTGCCTGTAAGTGTGCCTATGTTCCATGTCCCAAACCACAGCCTATCTTGACCTTTACCTTTGTGAACTAGTTTATTTACCCGCGTTCGTTCACAAAAACATGGCAACCTTTGCTTATTTTGCACTAAAACATGGAAACCTTTGCTTTATTATTGCCAAGATTCACTATGCACACATAAACCATGACTAGAGAGCCCACAAGATGAAACACCACAGAGTCACAAGGGAAAAAATGTAGTCTGCCAGCTACACTATACAGTATACACACAATAATTAAATTCATAGCATTATAAGATTGAAGCAACAAATAGATGAAACTAGAAATGCTACAACATGCATCCTTGTATAGATAAAGGGAAAAGAAGATTACTTGACATGCTTGAATATGAGGTAAACAACAAGGGCGATGTTGAGTCGCTCGTTGTAAGTTGGGATAATTATACTGTACTTGGTCTTCTCCCCCATTGTGCTCCTTAAAACAAACCGGTGATAAAATCAACACAAGTCACATATAAAAGCAGGCCAGGTCAGGCTCACCCATTTCTAAACAAGCTTGAAATTTTAGTGTTTGGCTCATAAAATGCTGGGCTCAGCAAGCCAAAAGAGAACCCACCATTTCTGTGTAAAATGATGCCGAGTGCCATATCAATTCCTTAAATATATGGCTACCATACGACAGCGTTACTCGTAATTTTTATTCTATATTTTTCTTCAGCCATGCTCATACAATCATTCTACAATGGAACCAAAAGAATAGGCAAAATGTGCAAATCAAATCTAACAAAGAAAATTATGTACAAGCTTAGATAACATTGAACATGAACACTTGAAACCTCTTTCTAAGTGCATAATTTAAGCCTAAATGAATCAACTTTATTTGGTAGCACTGCTAATGTAAGGCCTAAAAATGTATCTGAGCTGAATTTTACCACAAAGCCAGATGCGCTAAAGTTATTTGTATTCATGAACAATTCCTAGACTTCACAAGAAAAAACAAAAACACAACAAATTTTAGAATTACTGGTTTCAGATTTGAATAGTTAAAGATGTAGGGGTGAACAAACATCACATAAAACATAGTTTGAGAGCTATTCTGTGGTTGAGCTAGATCTTCAATTCTTTTTCTTTTTCGAAGTTTGAAAAACCCCGAATGCTTATATTTTTATTCATTTTCCAATAAAATCCGCTTAACACAATCATTTTTCCGAAATATGGAAAATGAATACGTGAAATAATCATTTGATAAGATCAATCTTACTAATACAGTCATTTTCCTAGACAATCGGCGAAACAAATTGCAACTGTACAAAGAATATAAGCATAACATTTTAGGGTTATAGACTATAGCCCCTAAAATTAAATAATTAATGCTTTGAATTTGATTCAAACAATCAAATATGAAATTTAAAATCAACAAATAAATTACAAAGATAAAAAAGAGAATATCAAGAAAAATTTCACGAGTTTACCTTTATTTGAGACAACCGCCGATCTCCCCTTCGTCTACAATGCAGCAGCAGCAGCTTAGCACCTTCCCCTCTTCGGATCTTATCGAATTCTCCCCGCCGGTCGTCGTCGTTCCGTCGCTCTCGCAGTCTCGCCTCTCTGAATTGTCAGTCCCGCAACTCTGAAATCTGAATCGTCATATACTCGACGACTTGTTTTTCTACCGTGTAGTATCCGAATCTTTTTTGGAAATTTTAGAAAAATAAAAATGCTAAAACCCACCCCGAGTGTTCCACAACAATTTTAGAGAAATCTGAATCGTCTGTTTGTATTAAAAATATCAAAAATATTAAGGGTACACTAGAAGTGTACTCCAAATATACCCGCTTTATTGCCACATATTTTGGTATGTAAAATAAAAAGGAAAGAATTAAATAAAAAATGAGTGGTAATGAAGAAAATGGTGTACATTTGGAGTACACTTTTGGTGTACCCCTAGCATCTCTCTAAAATTATTTGTGATTATTATTCGTGTGGAACACCGTGGTAAGTTCCTAGCGGGATCCTTTTAAAATTGGTAGCGGAGATGTTATTGGGAAGTGTTTGTGTTTACTAGTTGAATACATGTACTGATAGAATAAGAAAAGAAGATACTAACCCGCACGGGTAGCCCAAATGGCAAGCACTTGGTGAAGGTTGGAGAATGACCAAGGATCGAAACCTGGCAGCGACCGTTGTGGAGGCGACCACCTCTGAAAAATGGGGGGAGTCTCTGGTGCGCACTAGGATATGGTCTAACTAAGTGTTGTGCTTGGGTCACCGTGATTTACCTCCTCTCACATTCCCGTCGGGTCGGGGGTGAGGGGCGCCCGGGGTGAGCGATTTCACCTTTTTTTTTGGAGAAAAGAAGATACTCCATATGGAAATGGAGAAATGAGATTAGGCACCAAGAAAGGAAGACAATTGAAGAAGTCCAAGTCCAAGCCATCCAATATATAAGAAGTTATCTTTATTATATGAAAGCCTTGTCTTAAATATTTGTGGGTGACTGTTGTATGTTTGCCGCTTGTACCCAAACTTTGACTTGGTAATAAAGCTTGTATTTTTGTGCAAAAAAAAGAAAAGAAAAGAAGATACAAAAGCTAAAATTAGAATAATATGTGTATTGTAGAAAAGATGGTGGAAACTCTTCTTAAATAATTTTGCCTATGTGATATATAGAAGACTAATAGAGCATTGAATGAGAAAGGTTGAACAAATGATGAATAGACGGACCATGCTAGGGTGCCACCACATGGGTGCTACCATGGGTGCACCCATGTGGAGGCACCCTAGCATTTTCCTGAATAGACATGTGAATAGAGAATGAGGTAGACCCAATAAGACATGACGAAAAACGGTCAAGGGGTCTTTAGAGCACTTGCAATGATATGTAAATTGGCCTGCCCCAACTCCTCTCATATCAGCATTCCACTGACTTTTTGTCCGTCCCAAAATCCTGCATTGATATCATCCTGAAAACCCGCCTCTCCGTTTCTTTTACAATATTTATCATTTTAATTCAAAATTTATATAAATTTTATACAAATAGTTATTTATTAATAAAAATAGATAAATAATAATGAATAAAATAAAAGTAACAATTTCAAAATTAACAAGAATAAAACAAATAAAAAAGGTTTAAAATTAAAAAAACTAAAATTGAAGAAAAAATGGAGGAAGAAGGTAAGTTGAGGCCGAGGAAGAAGAAGAAACTGGATCGGGGCAGGAGGAGGAAGAAGGAGGGTTATTATAACATTATTTGTTATCACATACTCCTTCCCTCCCACAAAACTTTTCTGATTTTAACTTTCAAAAGATTTAAAAGAAGTGTATTTGGTGTTTACTTTCCAAAAATGTCTTTAGATGTGATGGGTAAAAGTAGATGTGATGAGTAAATTAATAGTGAAAAAGTGTGATATGATAGGTAAAATAAGAATTAGGCCTCGTTCCGTTCAACTTATTTTTTCTTATTTTTTCTTATTCTTATTAAAATCAGATCAGATCAGATCGAATCAGATCAGATCCAATCAGATCAAATCAGATCCAATCAGATCAGATCAGATCCAATCAGATCAGATCAGGACTTATTAAAATAAGATCTCATCAAGAATTATTATTATTATTATTATTATTATTATCATCATCATCGTCGTCGTCGTCGTCGTCGTCATCATCATCATCATCATCATCATTATTATTATTGTTCTTAAAAATGAAAAAGAATAAACTTTAGAAATAGGTTAAATAAAAAGCTGAGAAAGTAATCCTTAATTATTAGACGTCGGAAAAATTAGTTTTAAAATACATTGACAATGTCAATCTAATTCTACTTTTAAAATATATTTTTATTGCTACTTGTAATTTGA